AGGTAATTAAATTTTATGTTTTCTACTACTTAGATTGATGAACTATAAAGTATAAGAATTTATCGAATAGTTTATAACAACTTTCAATCTTTGCACAAAGCTTGTCGACAACCTTTTCTCCAAAGATTATTCTAGAATTTCATCACCTAACGATTACAATATTGCATTATGTACTTTTTTCATTATTGTTTTTCTTTATGTAGATGCAAACTAACTACCAATTTTTCTTATCTTTTTAACATCAACTCATATTCTTATTGTGAGACTCCAGTAACTATCTTCACTCGCCACATATTAAAGTTATTTTTCGCTAATAAAATTTCCAACAACAAAATTTATAGATATCATAGCCATGACTCTTTTTTTCTTTCATTAGTAGGTTTTTTCCATAACCTTTTTTTTTTAAGATAGAATATCCACCCATCACTTAAGACACATATTCTCACTTTTTATCCACCCACCTCCATTTACTCCATACTTATAACAAAGCCTTTTACCATAAAGATTGACACTCCACCTTCATCCTCTACGTCCATGTTCCGAATAAGGCTATTTTGAAAGCCTTAAAATTCTTCATCCTTAAACCTCCTAATTTTTTCTCCATGCAAACTTTATTCCACTTAACTCGGTAAATTTTTTGTTTTCCCTCCCCACCCCTTTAAAAAGCTCTTAAAGAGAGATTCAATATTCAATTAAGTTTTGAATTCATTTGCATGCCAAAACTCTTTAGGTGTGACTTGAGATTTCTTTAGAGTATTCAACACACTATTCTCATGGATAAGGTATAAATAGACCTGCCCAAACTCATGTAAACACTTTTAGTCAATTGAGAATTGAATTATTTTGAGAGTCTGTGTGCTTATTTTTGTTATTGAGTAAGAACTTGATACTTATCAAAGGATCTTGATCCTTTGTGGTGAATCCCCGTTTGACTTATCATCCCCTTTTCATTTGTAGTGTTTCTCTTCATCCTCATCTAATTTGCTTTTGATTTTCAATTGCATTTGTTCTTGATTTTGCAACTACTTGTCAAAAAAGATTAATTGATGAAAACTCATAGAAGGCTTCATAAAATCAAGATACTCCAAATTCGCCAAATTCTATACTTTCTCAAAGTTTACTTTAAAACACTCTACTTTTTTCTTTCTTTTTTGCATCATGCACATGCTCTAGTAACGAGTACTTGGTCCAAAATACGTTACCTTTGATAAAAGTATATTGAATAATATAAATAAGATAATACAATACTTTTCCCAATCTTCCATAATCAAAAAATTCTCTTAACTGATTTTTTTCTTCCATAATTCTAAAACTCACATGAAAATAAACTTTTTCCAATGTAAAATAAAATCTTTCATCTTAAAAAAAATTAAATCTTTTTATCCAATAATTGTAAGACTTACCGTGAAACGTGAATTGACCTAATATTCTCAAGTTCAATTCTCGATAATGTTAAAATAATACTGAGTTAAATACAAATTAATATTTGATTATTAAATTTGAGAAACTACATAATACAATGATGTCTAAAAAAAAAACAAAAATACAAACATAATATTCTTTCTAATCAGATATTTATTTCTTTCTCGAATATTACCTGACCTCATTATGAAAAGCTTTGAAGAAAAAAGAATTTGGTATGCTAGGTCAGTATCGGTCCCGTCCTCACCTAAGTTGTGCAAGTTATTTGATCAACAGTGCATTAATTCTGTTTTGATTCTATCATTTTAGCTTGCAATCAAAACGTGGATAAATGGTTCATCGCCCTTCGCACGTGCTCTCTAAATGCATGTGGCTTTCCACCTCTTTACTGAATTACCAAACAACTAACATTTTTTTTTCTTCCCTCCTCTGTCGTATTAAGTCTACACTCGTAAAAGTTATTCACATTATCACCATGTAAAATATAGAGGAAATACTCATTTTGAAGTCTACATCGATATTTTAATTTGTTACTTCTGCTTCATAAGAGTATTTTCAATCAGATTGCTTCTCCTGTGCCACATCACTGCCACATCAACTTTGACCCACTTTATGGGTTGCTTAAATTTTAGTAAAGTTACTTGTAGAAACAATTTTGTTAAAATTTAAGCAACCCATAAAATGGGTCCGAACTGATGTGGCAGTGATGTGGTACAGGGGATTGCTTATAAGCAATCCTATTACAGATGCTCTAAGGTAAAGTCTATATATCGAATCAACTGCATATGTTGCAATTCAATTTAAATTTAGGTAGAATATAATTTTACGAATCATCTTCATTTACTCTAAATTCTAAAACACAAATTATCTTGTTATTCGGTATTTGTCATGTAACAACTAGGCCCATTGATGTGTTTAGATATTTTATACCCAAAGAGGCACATCTACGGGGTTAGGAACAATTTCTCGATCAAACAAAATTTTAAGCCAACCACAGTGGCTAGTGATAAAAACATGCACATAATTTATTGGAGGTTATGAATTTAAATGTGTTTTTTTGTTGTTGATGTATTCGTGTTAATAGCTAGCCCAATCCATATAACTTTGTTCTCTGGCGTAATAAGATTTCTAATTTGCGTTACTTTGAATTTTAAGCTCTGTTTTTATGAGTAGTTAACACTAACTAATAACAAGCACTTACAAATAAATATAATAACCGGTCATATATGTTTAAATATTTGTCACGCTAATATATATATATAAAAAAAATTAACACAGATATATTAGATTTTAGAATGGTAAAATAGCATTTTCAGGACAAAAAAATTACTACAAAATGAAAGAAAGTTATCGTTTCTCAACCAAAAAGGAAAAAAATCAACCAAAAGAAGAAAGTTATCATTAAGAACTTATTAAGAAAGAAATATAATACTAAATAATAATGTGGAAAAGAATGAATTAAAAGAAATAGGAACCTTTCCTTATTTAAAATCCAAGTTTAGTCCATAAATAGCTTGACCCGTAAAAATCTCTTTGAAGAAGTTTAGACTCTCATACCGACCAAAGTAGTCTTAGTGAATCTATGTCACGCGTTCAAGTGCTCTTCAATTAAGGTTATTAGTTTCACTTGAAACCAAAGCTACTTCCCAAAGACTGAAAAAAAATATTTTTTATTTATCGAATTATGTTTACATGTTCGTTATATGTTTTCTTTAATGAATGTTTTTATATAATTACTATATGTGATTCATGTGATAGATAACTTTGATTAAGTAATTAAAAAGCTCACGTAATATTAAAAGTATTTAAATTAACAGAGTATAAAGTTAATTCTAACACTTGAACGAGATTAATTTTATATCATGTCAAAATAAAATCTAACTCCTTAAATTATCTATTGATGGGAGTTTGGCTACCCATAGAAACAGATAATTCAGCAATTTATTAGATAACTCTAACATTTAATAATAGCATAACACATTTTGTTCAATAGAATTTAATGGATATTATGATTGTAGTAACTTGTGAACTGATATATTGTCGTGGATAGTTTTTTACTTCTTTCTTTCAAATTTTATGTCAACAAGCCTCTGTTGAACTCTTGCCTATTAAAAATATGATCAGAATGGTGTCCTGGAATATCACAAAGAAAACAAAAACTCACAAAGTAATTCAATTTTTTGCGTACGTCATGGTTATCTTTATTGCAGATATACTTTAGTAGATTTAAAATTATTGTAAGTTAAAAAGTGAATTTGTGGAGAATTAAATGGCTTTAAACAACAGTGGTAGGTGATAGTATGGATCAATATATAAAATCTAAAACAAGATTATTTTGTCTATATCTATTTGTTTTAGATGGCTTTCAAGTTTCAACCCCAGTGGGGGCAAAGAAAAAGAGAAGATATTTGCTTCTTCTAAGATACATTGTCTTGATATTTGATCTTTTACTCTGTATGCGGTGGTTTGAATCTAAAGTCTAAAGCAATTGTAAAACCTAAATAATTATTTAAAACATTTATTATTATTTAAAATATGAAATTAGAATATTGAGAGTTATAAATACCACAAAATAAAAAAGAATATTTATATTGGGAATTAAAAAGGAAGAAAAAATGCAATCAGCCATAAATAATAAAATAAAATAAAATAGCAGCCTTCTAGAGAGGGGAATAATTGGTAGTGTTTTAGGGTAGTTAGGGAATTTTTGGTAAATAAATAGTTAATGATTAGATTAGAGAGAGGAAATAGGATATGGAAAAGTGTGGTTAGTTTGATTGGCTACGGTCGAGTGGGAGAGACGCGCGCTATCTGAGCCCATTAGAGAGTGAAAGAGTGATGGTGGAGTGAGGGAGCGAATGGAGGAGCGAGTAGAGAGAAGGCGCGTGGGGTGGGAGATAGCGTTTGACAAATTGAAAGCCACAAAATTAAAAAGAAGAGCATCCGCTAGGACAGAGCCACGTGTCAAGGTGTCGACCATGTGATAGATTGGGAGCCTCAAAATATCTGAGCCTTGGGGAGTGGGTTTATTATATGTGAATATCTTTCTGGCTAATGGCCATTGTCCCACACACAAAATATCCCAATGCGCACACACTCAAATAAATTGTGATATTTTTTTGGATATGGATGGGAAAATTAAAAAAGGGTGAAAAAATATCCACCACCAGCAACCAGCAGAAGCAACAACCCAACCAAACCAAACCACGAGAACCCAATGGCTTTTTGGCTTTAGATCTTTGGTCGAAAATCAGATCTGATTGATGACGTGGACCATGTGGGCCAGGGGTTACAAGTGTCTAGATATTTTCCCAAACCAGGATATTTTCGCCAGCCGTTCGATCCTAGGGTGGTTAACGTTGCTGTCTTGTCCCACGCCGTTCGATCACTCCGCTGTTAAACTTGACGCTCTTATCTTTCCATATCTCGA